GCTAAAATATTATAACAAGTCTTTAAAGCATGCTATTTCTCAAAATGGAAAAGCTTGTCATCGTGATGAGTTCCTAAGATGCACCGAGTGCAACAAAGACCGCAGGTTCCGTCTCCGTTCAAAGGAAGAGTGCAGAACTTACCATGATGCTTTGGCGAATGTGCATTGGAACTGCTCTTGTATTCCTTATGACAAGTATGTTCCTCTTATTCAAGTTTGTTATTTTGTTCTTCATTTTCTGGATTCACCACCCTCTTATACATACATGCTGCGGTTGATTTTTTCCTAAAAGAATATTTATTTAATTGATCAAAGTAACAAAATTTGTATCTTGTTCACAGAATGGGTATTGTCAATGGTTGCAGTAGTCATGGAATGGGAAAATAGTTGCATTTTGTTAGTTTGTCTTGGAAGTCTTTAGTTAATTCATGAGTGCTCTTACCTTTGTAAAATCTGTATATGCTTTGTTTTCCCACTTCAATCATTAGATGTCTTTCAGTCCAGCATGAACGACCAGTTCTGCTCCACCTACTTCTTCCCCAAATAAAAAAAATAAAACTTTCATATGATAATGGTGAAATCCCGGCAAAAGGAGGAAAGTCATGAAAGATGAAACAGAAGTACAGGCAGGCAATTTTTGCATGCTGTGCAACTTGCATGTTTGGGAGAAGGATTCAAAGAAATATTTGATCTTCATCCTAGTGAACTGTCATTAGCAAAGTACTTTATGATCTGACTGAATTTGAACTATGACTAAGCATTCATGTATGACCGATAGCATACTAATACCGTGTAGGTAAAAGGTGAAAGAACCTTATTTTAGATAGTACAGTTCAGAATTTGAGAGGAAAACTCTTTGATCAGTTTATTTACCTTTATATGATGCTCTATTTTCTTTTTCTCCATGTATGCTATAGAGATGGAAAGATATTTTAGGATATGTGGTTACATATTAGTTTTGAAGCACAGATATTCACGTAATATCTTACACTCACACCCCCAAGCACAAACTGAAAAAGAAAAAAAAAGTGCTTATTCTGGGGTGGGAAGGGAACTCATATACCTTTTGCTCCCACATCCAAGTTAAATGGCACTTCAGATTTGATGATTTATGAAGAGTTAACAGATATAATTACAGCTATTACTGCATTGAAATAGCTACCAATTTCATTTCCAGAAGTAGTGTCTCTCAAAGAATTCTGTTTTCCGATCAAATGCTCATGGGATCTCTGCTTATGGTCAGAACTTACTTCTCTAGTTGAGAACACTTTTTTGCTTTGTTATATTTTGGAAGTCGACCACTTGTTCTTGAGATAAATAATTATTTATTGTGAGCGTTGGAATTTAAAATGCCATCCCTTGTAATTGCATCCACTCCCCTGCACATGCCATCTACTTTCTTGGTTTGTATTAGTGAGTCTGTTGGATCTGAAATGTTGTAAGACAGCTTGTTGATGCATGTCCCACCGTATTAGTTGGTAGAATGGCAAGTGATATAAAGGAATTTGCTGATGCATGTCCGTCCATCTTATTAGGGGGTAAAAAGCTTTCTTTAACGATCTATCCTTTTGCAGTTGTTGAACTCACTTCCAATGTCACTCAAAATTTGCGAGTGTCAGCTTACTTTGTTGTTTCTCTTCTCTTGGAGCTGTCAAATATGATCTTATCTAAAACTGACCTCCAAGATATCTTAGTCTTTGGAAATGTCTTGTTTTTAATTTATGGACTTACTCGATTGCTGGCTTCTATGTAACAGATTTTCATGTGATGATGATGAAGAACGAGCAAGCCGTAGGGTGTACAGGGGATGTTCTCGTTCTCCGACATGTAAAGGTTGCACCACCTGTGTTTGTTTTGGATGCCAAATATGCCGATTTTCGGACTGCAGTTGCCAGACGTGCAGTGACTTCACAGAGAATGCAAAAGGCTGAATTATTCTATAATTTGTTTCCAAATTTGAATGGGGTATGTTTTCCCCATCATTAATTCATCTGAATCCATGCTACTCATGTTTTTTCTAGCTGACATATATTAAGACCCATTAATCCCAAAATTGCCGTTTTACATTCACAATCAAAGGTTTCTTCTGTCTATAATATATCAAGTGCTTGACTGTTTCCCTTTTCATTTATTATTTTGATGCGGAATATAAATTTATGAGTAAAACTTCATGAAACGTCATGTCTGAACCCATTATTTAATATAAAGTTCAAATTTTTGGTCCACCAATAAATGTATATGTGATCTTTACAGCATATTTTGACAAAGAATAGACCTGCTAAAAGTTATTAAAGTATTTCATATTTCCAAAAAGATGCCTCCACTATTCTGGTTTTCCTTTTTCGAAAGGGCACCCAAATAATTTTGTCATGCAAAATCAAATGTAGGATATATATATATAACATCAATATGTACACTTTTTAGTGATGGGAAGAAAGAAAAATCATTTGTTGTAAACCTCTTTTATTAATGGAAGATGAATTTGCAAGACTGAATCAATCATTTCCATAGGCCTAACCCATCGGTAGCCCCTAAAGTTGGCACCAATTTTTACTTAGACACCTTAGCTAAGCTTTGTTCATTTTAGACACCTCATGTCGTACTGCATTATGTCATTTTAATATTTTTTTAACAATCAGTCAAATATATAAGGTGTGTGTAACACACTCGTTGTGTCAAATTAAATAAAAACATGTGGCATATATATTAAAAATAATTTTTAAATAATAATATTTTAGTAGAATGAAGACGTAGCCAATGACTAAATGACATGTGGATTTTTTTACACACAAAATTAAAAAAAAATAACCCAACCACACCAAGGTCATCTTCTCCGCCCCACCCACCCCCAACGACATGAATCGTTGGCCCTCCTAATGGGTTGAAATTTGTTTTATTGTGAAATATCTTCGTGTTGAAATTCATTTTTTTTGTTTGTAGCATCATCAAAACTATTTCTCCATGGAAGGAGTTCAAGTTTTGAGAGATGGTGGCTGAAAAATGAGGAAGAAAATGAAAAAAATAAAATGCCTTTCACGGCTGGTATTGTGTGTATTACACTCACTATGCCATGTCAGTAAAAAGTGTCAAAATGACACAACGAGACATGACATGAGGTGTCTAAAATGAACAAAGCTTAGTTAAGACGTCTAAGTGAAAATTGATGTCAATTAGGTCACCAATGGATTAGACCCTCATAAATAGGGACATGGTGCACATGTGGGAATTAGTAGTGGTAGTACTTGTTGTCACAGCCATTGATAACAAAGCATGTGACACCATAACATCAATCCCATTATATTCCCCTCTCATATATATCTTAGGTGTTTAAGTGAAAATTTGTGCCAACTTTAGGGGGACACCGATGGATTATACCTTTCCCATAAAAGCACAAAGTCTTAATCTAGTCACTGAAAAAGCAAAAGGTTAAGGAGTCATTTAGTAAAAGGTATAATAATTCTAAGAAAAAATACAGGACCATTTTATTCTGCGTTTAATTGGATATTATATAGTGTTGGGACTGTTTATCCACCATTTTATCATAGGGATAAGATAAGTTATTCCACCATGTATATGCGATAACTTATCCCAAAATAACTTAATTTGGATAATTGATCAAAAAGTTTGGCAAAAGAAGAACGTAGTACTTTAGTGAATAAGAAGCAATTATACATGTCGAAAGCCATGGGAGAGGTAAAAGGACGTAAATAAACTGATCAATAAATTCTTAAATATATTTTTACTACTTTCACCATATGTTTTCTTTATTTAGTTTGTCTTAAAGGATCAACTTATTTAATTTGGTGCAACCACCATAAATGAATAAGAATATTATCCAACAAGTATTTAAGGGTGTGGCCTAGTGGATGATTACGTGGGTTGAGCATCATGAAGTTTCAGGTTCAATTTCTAGAAAAGAAAAATATTAGGTGATTTCTTTTCAGTATTGGTGGACATAATTAAGTGATACTTGTTGAGTACAAAAGATTAATATGTAATATTTACTATAAGTTTTAAACATTTTACATAAAAATAATCTCAATATACAGTCGCCTAGTCGGTTTTTGATTATTCTAGGAGCACTCCCTTCGTCTTAGATTAATAGTTATGTTTTGCTTCTCAAGAGTTAATATGACTAATATTCTAAGCTAAATCACCTCAATATTTCATAAATAAAATGTAGCTATTTAAGAACTATACGAAAAGTACGATCAATTGCATATAAACCACCCTTCACAATTGATTAAACATTAAAGTTCATATTAGTCAAAATATTATACGAAATTAGAAATAAACCATAATATCATCGAGAGAATAGTTGGTTTATTAAGTCTTATCACTTTAAACTCCTCCTTCATTAAACTTTGGACTTTTCATGAAATGATTTATAACGCCACAAATATCAATGACCTATCATCTAAATAAAGAGGTCAACAATATTTGGACACGAAGAAAACCTAGAGAAGGTAAAAAAAAAAAAGAAGAAGAAAGAATCCAAGAAAACAAGTGGTTTGTCTCACAAGGAATCAGTACAAAGTCTGTTTATCACCAAAGGTTGTGGTGGGCAAGTGGGAAAACACCCCTCCGCCCTAATTAGAGGACTCCAATTCAAGTCCTGGAAATGAAGTCGCCTTTGGTAGAAAGTGTAACAGATTACTCACGGCTCAAGGAGTCAATATACATCATCAGCTATTTATATATGATACAACTACACAAAGAGACATGATATTAGTACTGGACTAGGGAGTCCTAATAGAAAGTACTTTACTCTCCAAAGTGGAACCTCCCAGTACAAATCTGAATTAATCGAGCTCCAAAAAGAAAGTTACCAAATGCTTGGTGGAAAACCGAAAATGGAAGAATCCAAAGTCTGGTTCTTTGCATATGAGTACCTGATCCCACCCATCACACTCTAAGATCATTCAAGGCAAAAACTGAGAGCAGATGTGCAAGGCCAATGCTTTTGTGTATCGTTGTGCATTTTTGAGCAAGGAGAGGACTGGTGGAAAACAAACATTTCGAATTTGGGACAAAATTCATTACATAAGGTGGATAGTCCTACACACACTTGACCCCCTAAAGTAGAAGGGAAAAGTAAAACAATAAAACTACCATACTACCTTTCTAATGGAAGTTACAAAGTAAAGGCTTCCAAAACTTCAGTTACGTTGTGACCTACCTCTCCTACCACCAAAACGGCCACCACCCCTGTGATTTCCTCTCCGACCACCACCAGAATGAGCGCCTCGATTGAAGTTTGGAGAGACATTAATATTGTTCTGTCCTGATTTTGGACCATTCTCTGGTACCTGACCTCCCAAATTCATGGGTGAAGGAGTAAATTGGCCTGGTAAGCCCATTGGCGAAGGTGATTGTCCTTGATTGAAGTTTGGAGAGCCATTAAGATACCCAGGAACCACAGCATTTGGTTGTGAATTATTGTTCTGTCCTGATTGTGGTCCATTCGCTGGTACCTGACCTCCCAAATTCATGGGTGCAGGAGTAAATTGGCCTGGTAAGCCCATCGCCATAGGTGATTGATTAAAAACATTTTGTCCAAAGGCAGGCCAAGGTCCAAATGATGGCCCTGCACCAAAATTTGGTAGTCCACCTGGGAATATAAAGCTAGGCGGAAGAGTTGGATTTATTTGCTGCTCAAAAGGTAATGCATTTGGCAAAGGCATTTGAAACATTTGCTGTGGATGACCTTGTTGGGGCCATGACATACCCATATTTGGCAGTGTGTTAGGAAAGCCCATATTCTGGGGCTGTTGATATGGGAATCCATTAGGCCAAACTCCAGTTGACGGTGATGCTAAGCCAGGGGAATTTTGCATATGAGGGAATGGAGGAACTGATGGAGGCCTGATACTCTGTCCATGTCCTTGACGAGTGGCGCTTTGATGAATGCCTTGAACCACAGGAGCAGCAGCAGCTGGGATAAAGCGTGGACTTTGGTCAACTGATGGCTTACCATTTTCATGTTGCACATCTGTAGCCACACCTTGATCATGTTTCCAGTTCTGTGATCGATTTTTAAGATTCCTTTTGTCCTTCTTCTTGTTTCCTGGTTTCTGGTCATTTGTGATGCCCCTCTTTTTCATTTTTAGCATTCTCCTGTGTTCAGCTTCCTTCTCATCATCTGAAAATTCATCCTCAGACGCCTCTTCATCATTTTCACCAGATGCATCATACCCTTTCTTGTAAAGACTGTTGTCATTTAAGATATGACTTGAAAATTCAGGGACGAAAGAGATCAAGGTGCCTGGGTGGATTCCAGGGGGAACTTCGTTGTCAGAATTGTATCTTACAATGTAGTACGGGTTCTTGACAGGCCCAAAAATCTCATCTACTATACCGAGTGGAGATCTGTTTTCTGTTATCCAGAGAATAGAACCATCACAAAGAGGAGAATGCTTCTCCACTCCTTCTACTACAACTTGGGCCCCAATAGTCTGTCACGCAGATGAAATAAGCCATTTAGATAACAAAGTTGAATTAAATATAATCAAGCACCATTTACATAATCTTTAACTTTTTTGTTTTCAGCTTTTTAGTCTTACCGATGTCACAACTCCTACAGGCTGCATCTGGTGATGTGGTTGCAAGGTTGCAGTCACTTCCGGAACTGGGGGTAGAACCTGCAATCAACAAGGATGATTGAATTTTTGCGCGTTGACATAAAACATGAAAAGCAAATTCAAAACATCACTTTCACGTGCTAATCATCCATGCAGGGTGAACAAAACAAATACATGTTTCCAAAATCTTACTGTACTTCATTTCACTTAACACAAGTCAACCCTTTTATGTTCTTCAGGTCAGCACCATAAAATTTCTGAAAAATGTACATCTGCTGGTTCCTACTCGTAAGACAAATAACTATGAGACCAAGAAAGTCACTATTTTCATGTCAAGAATATATTTAGTGCAGAAGTGCTTAGAATACAATACAAGCAAATGATTGTTATGGTGATACCGACTGTTGGAATTAAACTAAAACCATATGAGAAGAAGTGTGAGATCCAGATTACCTAATCCACCAAAAGATGCAATGTTCAGCAATGGACTAAAATGAACAGGAATAGCTGGTTGTCTGGTTCCAACTGATTTTGGAGTGACACATAATTTCTTGATGGATTTATAGATAGTTCTTTGGTTAAAGTGCTTCTTAAAGATATAGAACACTCTACTCTTAGGTGTTAGTCTTAATATCATCACTATATAAATTTATTAGCAAATTACATATGAAATTAGCACTCTCCCCCCATAGATTAATATCAACTGACAATGATTGATCAAGATGTCCTTCAAAAGATACGCAGACAGCTATAAAATAGAGACAACACAATCTTTTTCTTCTTCAAAATTATGTTCTTCCATTCTCTGTTTAGTATGCATTCGCAAAGTCTACCAAAAGTGACATGATGCCCGCGAAGATAGAAGGTGAGGTAAAAACAGAAAAATCTAACATCACTCTTTATGTTTAGGTATGGCCAATAACTGGGACTTTGGATGCATAATCAGGGAGACAGATGAACTCCACTTCGCAAATACACAGAGAATTCACTAAATACACAGAGAATTTCAAGCTGTCAATCGAATGCTAACAGATTTGCAAAGATTTGTGTTTCAGAGTTGACTATACGTAGGCCAGTCATTCTTTACTCGAAAATTCTGTTCATGATTTACAGGGATCTATTAGAGTATCATCTCTTATAGAAGCCCTAAAAAGGGTGTCTTTTCTTGCTATTTAGCTGAAATTTAGACATTTTTCCATTGCATTCCATAAGGTGCAGAAGAATCAAGCACTTAGACTGAGTTTATACTATATACAATTACCTACCAAATTGTTTTGTACTTAACCTACTTCCTCAAGATAACAGTAACATCAGTAGTATTAGCATTCAGTGGCAGTACTACAATGAGAATATATACTCACTTCATATACGCATCTAAAATGAATTAGTATATTTACCGTGGCACTATAATAATGTTCTCCAATATAGCGAAGATATATTCATAATTCATAATTCAATTAGTATTATTGATTATTATGTTCATGCAGATACCTATTCATGAAATGTGAAGTAGAAATTATGTTCTGTAATAAGACAACAATCTCCTAAATGTGTATAGGACACCAGTTCTTTCTTGCACTTTAATTTGACTCCGGGTTCCATTGGAAGATGCCTAATAAACTAGGTACAAATAAATTTTGTTACTTTATACAGATGGTTGATTTCGAGCACCCATCCTATTCCTCAACCAGTTTCCATGATTGAAAACAAATGCAGATTCATAACTCGAAGCAGCACTGCCTCAAGTAAATGTCTTCTGTAATGGACCAAAATTTGATTAAGCAATAACTGAGGGATTATTAGCTTAAGTGGTATAATGACCGTGGACACCTGATATTTCACTTTCATTAAAAGCTCAAACATAGCAATAATTAGTAATTCAAATGCACTACCATTTACATATAAAGTGATAGTAATTATTACCTGAACCTCATTCTTAGACCTGATAGGTCCCTTAACACCAGTGTCCTCGTCGTCGTCATCCCAACCAACCATCTCATCGACATCAGATGCTACAATCTCGCCTTCTTCCATATCCACCTTCTCTTCTGCTTCATCATTTGAACTACTCTCGTCTTCATCGCTGTCACTACTAGAGGCCGAGGAAGAGGCTTCACTTTCACTTTCAGACTCCGTATCACTATTACTCACTGTACTTCCATTTCCATTAACACCCGTATCATTCACAATTCTTTCCTCAGCCTTACTACTGATGACAACTTTATTATCAGTCTCCTCATTCTTGCTAATCACCGCCGCCGCCACCACACTGCCACTAACATTGCCAACGCCAGCTTGATCAACCACTCTTTCATCCTCTGTCCCACTTATACTAACTCTTCCCATCTTCTCCTCAACTATACAATCAAAGTCCTCAACTTTCATCCCATTCTTAAAAACCCCAATTTGACTCTGTTCTTGATTCAGACAACTCAAAGGGTCCTCAGTTTGAATATCACATTTCTCAGAAACACACTTTTCTTGATTCAAACAACTCAAAGGGTCCTCAGTTTGAATATCACATTTCTCAGAAACTCCATCATTACTCCTGAACTCAACTTCTACAGAATCAAGCTCAAGGGATTCTTGATTTCTATCAGCCATAGGACTATCCGACATCAAATCACTGAGGGAATCAAAATCAAGAAGAGAATCAGCAAAAGACAAAGAAAATTCGTCAAAATCAGGGATAGATAGTAGGCTTAAAGGGTCTGAAAAAGGTTGGCTTTTTTTATCATCTTCAACCTCTTCAGCGGTTGAATTGTACAGAAAATCCACCATTATCAAGTGATAAAAATTGGGTTTTCAAGAAGTTTATCATAGTAACTTCAAAAATAGGAGAATACCTGACTTTATAAACGTATGAGAGAGTTTTGGTAAGCGATTTTTTTGGGGCGCTTAACTTCAGCAATCAATCTTCTTAAACCCTACTAGGGTTTAACAGAACAATTTACAGGGACAATTTGACTCTGTTCTTGATTCAAACAACTCAAAGGGTCCTCCATTTGAATTTCACTCTTCTCAGAAACTCCATCATTACTCCTGAACTCAACTTCTACAGAATCAAGCTCAAGGGATTCTTGATTTCTATCAGCCATAGGACTATCCGACATCAAATCACTGAGGGAATCAAAATCAAGAAGAGAATCAGCAAAAGACAAAGAAAATTCGTCAAAATCAGGGATAGATAGTAGGCTTAAAGGGTCTGAAAAAGGTTGGCTTTTTTTATCATCTTCAACCTCTTCAGCGGTTGAATTGTACAGAAAATCCACCATTATCAAGTGATAAAAATTGGGTTTTCAAGAAGTTTATCATAGTAACTTCAAAAATAGGAGAATACCTGACTTTATAAACGTATGAGAGAGTTTTGGTAAGCGATTTTTTTGGGGCGCTTAACTTCAGCAATCAATCTTCTTAAACCCTACTAGGGTTTAACAGAACAATTTACAGGGACAAAAATCCCCAGCAACTTTGGAAATAGAACAAAATGGTCCTTATTTTGTATTTTTGGTCTTCAAATGCACTTTAATTTATATTTATACAAAATTATTTGATATTTGTTACGGTGGAAGTATCGCAATTTGGTTAAAAATCAAACCAACAATTGATTTTAATTTGATTTGGTTTACATTTTTAAAAGTATAATTATTTGGAAATATTACATAAATACATAACGTAAGGTGTCATAATCTCTAAAATATCCTATCATTTTAAAAAATTATAAAATAAATAAATTATTTCTCTCTCCTAATATCGGATATATCCATCTCATTATGAATCATTGTATTTTAGTACCCGATACATACACCCACTATTATTTATCTAAAAGGCTATGTATCTGGAGACTAATGTATCCGACAATAGAATAGAGACCAACGAATCTATAAAAAAAATCTTAATTAATGTGTCGTTTGCAATGTATCCGACAACAAAAGAATGTATTCGTGAGTTATGAAAAATAAGAGATTATTGTAATTGGGGAAAACTTCCAAAAATATGGTATAATAAATTAGCACCCAAGTGTATGGAATTTCTGTACTTTCCCCTAATTATGTAGAATGCAACTCATGAACTTTACTTACCATCTATTTAACCTGACTTATACAAATTAGGGAAAATGACCATTTGGCCAAATTATTTACCAAGAAAATGGCCAAATGCGACCTTTCTCCTCTTCTTCCTCTTGCTACCTCCTTCTTCTTTGTTGTTTCCTTTTTTTTTTTAAAAAAAAAAGTTGACCTATCGCAAACGTAAATAGTTTTGAGTGAATTATATATAAAAATACTCAAAATATTGAGAGAACTTCATATTTAAAATTTAGAACTGTTTAGAGGAGATTTCGAGTTTGTCGAGATTGAATAGTCAATGTATGCTTCATGTGTAGTCACTAAGTGTATACTTCATGTGTAGTTAAGCTATATTCAACTTTTTGGGTATATCATAATGTATAATTAGTGTATAACTCATGCATATGTAAGTTATATTCAATTTTTGAGTGTATCATAATGTATAGTTTATATATATTTTCCAACTTAAAAATCAGGAAAATAATTTTCCTAGTAAAAGTAGAAAAAACAAAGTTTTAAACCGGAATGAAATGGACCTTTTGTGCACTTCCTCGGCCCATTGTAATCTTTGGAGCAGGCCCATTCGACAAGGAGATACAAGAACAGCCCAACTAGCCCAATACAATGTGTATACACCATACATGATTGTAGGGAATTTTGCACTTTACTTTTTAAAATTCATATAATTATATGGTTATCGAAAAGCATATGAAAATAATTTACATATGCTTTCCGAAAACAAAAAATATTGAAAAACATGTATCTTCTGAAAAATATTTAATTGGAGTATAGACTTAGAATGTTTATGTACATTGGTTTAATTATTTTTCAATTTTCATGCTTTCTAAATGCCTTAGGAACATACAATTTGTGGCATATACAGTATTATGAACTATAAGGTAGCAAATTTCTCAAACTAGAACGTATATATTTCATCAATGTATATGTTAATCAATATGTACAAAATGTTAGAAGGATCCAAAATCATACTAGCTATAACCTTTAGACACTAAACTTGTTTAGAATTAAAGACCATTTGAAAGAAAGTAAATGATATTGATGGTAAAGTCGATCACAGTGATATGAGAGTTTCGTATGAAATAGGACTCTTGCTCAACGAATTAAAGGTATATCCTGGAATAACAGAAGACATTGTATTGACTATTGAGAAGATACGTAACTAATACCAATGGCTTCATTAGATGTATCCCAACAATGCCATGTTCATGAGCATTTTCTAAATGTTAAAATTTCATATTGAAATGTCACCATTTTATAGACACATGTTCCTATAGAAAAATATATCAAGATTGTATTAATTAATAATTTGAAAAGGACTTTTGTGATCAACTATAATGCACTAGTTATTATAGACTACTTATAAATGGAAAATATCTTAATTCGTTGAGCAAATACTCCCCACTTAAATTGTTTTTTTATTTTATTTTTATTTTTAGAAGGATGAGATGTATTTAGACCCCATATGAGATAGTGATCTTAACTCTTAAATAATGAAGTCCATAAAATAGAATATAATCAACACCAAAAGGTAATTTCATGCACATTCTTTATCAAAAAATTATAGAATATACAGAAGTTAAATATATATTTAATTTGCACTCTCTTAATATAATTAAAGAAAAAAAATTTACACTCATCGCCAAATTTCTGGTTCCACGACTGATCAACACTAGAACTTAGCAAGAGTCGTTGCGTGTTAGAATTGTCAAGTGTGGTTTTTGTATAATCATATAGCCAATAGGTCTAAAAAGTCAAGTAATTAGAAGAGAGTTTGGCAACAATATAGGCTCAATCACATTGTCAACATATTCAGTTAGTTGGGGGTTGGGTTTTATCACTAGTGAATTTGGAAATAAAGTTTTTTTTTTTTGAAAAAAAAAATTTAAAACGTTTTTTTTAAAAAATAAATGTATTTGGATGGAAAAGTACCTTGAAGTTGAGGCGATTTAATTTGAATCATTTGATTTAATATCAACTTGGATTGAACAATAACTATCTAAATATTGATGTTCTATAGCAATTTAAATATCTTAGTTTGATCAGAAGAAATGATCTCTTATGATTACTTATAAGTTAAACAGAAAGAAATAACATTTTCATATAGTAACAAAGATATAGAACTAAAAACAAGTTCGATTATAATAAAGATAATTGAGGTTGAAGGAAGAATTTTGTAATTTAATACGAGGTAAGAGTAAAGCTAGATAAAGGTGCGCATACAATGTCTTGTTAGAAAGAAGCTAATTCGTCACTTAGAAAAAATATTTTCAAACCGATACCATAATTTTTACTATAAATATTTACTTGCATAAGATGTTATCGCTATAACGTATAAAACGTTTATTATTAATATATTATTGTTGTTGGGGATTGATTTGAGAGCGAATTTGTTGACTAAAAGCTTATTATTTTTAATCTCTTTTGGTCCACTAATTATGATATGAAACCTTTAAAGAGCCACCGTTATTTTATTTCATGTATTTATTACTCTACTATTCTTTGTTGACATTATACAATATCCATCATATTATATAGTCGACACATCAAATATATATATATAGTGACAAAGTCAAAACACTCTACACGTAATTGGTTGCATGTAATAATTAATATGTCAACCCATCACTCCATGATCACTCACAGGACTACACGTCTGCCCAAAAATAAAAATTAACTATAAAAAGAAAAATTGCTTTTCAATTTTTTTAAAAATCAAATAATTTTTTTTTTCTTTTTGATATATTTCAGGAATATGACAATTTCAAATTAAATGAAGGAACTAGTCTCAAAGGAAAAAAAGTTTAAATGAGGACTTTAAATGAGGACTTCCTTCTCTTCTACATATTCTCCGTTCACATTATTTTCAAAGTAAAGGATAAAATATACACAATAGATATTACGAGCCCTCTGTCTTCCATATCTATCTAGAAGATGAATATTTGTAAACTTGTATATACTCTTTTAAAAATAATTATTATAAGGATAAATTGCAACAATTAATTAATTATAATTTGATTTTATAAATTAATAAATAATTTAAAATAATTTGGACAATTAATATGTGACGAAGAAAGGAATTAATTAGGATTGCCCACTTACCTTTTTGAACGATAACGTGTAATTTGTCCCCCACGTGAAAGTGATCTGAATTAATAATAATGGACTTCTTGATATAGAAAGTTTTCAACATTAATAATAATAATATTGTGTTAGTTTAGCAAGAGACTATATATCAATATTTATTATATTAAGTGAATTATTGGGCGGCACACCCGTTAAAAAAAATTAAGGACATAAATTATAGATTATTTTTACTATTAATTTTTTTTTTTTTAAAATTAATCTCTTAGAAAATGTAAAGTATAATTTAGAATCTTATTCCATGAAGGGTAAATATGAAAAAGACTTTCAATAATTTTCTTGAAATTCAAGAGACATTTATTAAATAATAGTATTTTCATTGTCCATCTTTACTTGTCCTGCTAAAAATGATTGTCCAATCGATCCATTCCGGATTGACCGAATTGGTACGAAAGTTGTAACATGGGAAAATCACGGAAAACCCGATAGTACTACAAGACAGAAATAAGGCGATTATTACCTAAAAGAATAATGTGAATTAGAATAATAATACCTCACAAAGAACTATATTACTATGATGTTAACTCATTATATCCACATGGTATGAAAAACTTTCCAATGCCGGGGGGAGAGCCTGTCTGGATGGATAAATGTGAAGATATGAATTTAGACAGCCTAAGCTTCCTTATTTCAAAAAAACAGCGTTAACACCCTATAGTAAGACAATACTTATTTAGTTTGAAAAATTAAGACATAATTTACCTTTATATATCTATTTTGTCCTTACTATTAAATATTATGCAATATTAATATATTTTTCAAAAATATTAATATATTTAAAGAATACTTAGTGATATCATTTTTATTTATTTCTTAAGGTATATGTCAAATCAATACTGAACGACTATTGTTAGCCATGCGAAAGAGTAGCATTTTAGCGGTGACGGTAATTTGAACCAATCCTAGATTTAATTTAATTTAGTCATAGTCCATAGATTGAGGGAATACTTATAAATGCTCCTACTTTTTTTTTTATTATATATATTTATTTTTGTTAGGTCCAATTATGATGAAGTCATTAAATAGACACCGTGTATCTTATTTTTCATAGTATAACTTTGTTCTGTGTTTTGACTTTTTGTTATATAATTTATATATATAACAAAGTCAAAATACTGTAACATGTAATATTGCAGAAATATGGCAATCCATCACTCCATTTTAACAAAGTCAAAATACTGTCTTATCTAGATATGATGACATGCTAAAAAAAATTGTTTTTCATTTAAGTAGTAAAGCCAACGTAGTTCAAAAACAATTTAAAGATATAGGTCTTTAATTGTTAAAATTTCTGATTCCGTCAAACGTTAGAGGCAAATGTACATTACAGGTAGTGTCAGGAGCTTAGCTACGACACCTTTCATCAGAAAATTACGTTATATATATGTGTCAAATTCTACATTTAAAGGATATATATTTAAAGTTGAACACCTTAAACAAAAGTTATGCCTTTGGCACAATGGTAATGAATGTGAATTTAAATGAAAGAATTTCGGATTTGAACATCAAATAACACAATATTTTTTTATTTTGTTTTGACAGCCACACAGCTCCGCCACTGAACAAAGGTGTGTACAGATAAAACCATTATCTTCTAATAAAACTATATACTTATATTAATACACACACAAAGTGTGTACTTAATTATTTCCTTAATGATCAATAATCCAACTATAGTATTTATGAAGCTAGCTATTTGCAAATATTAGTATTTAATTTGAAACGACCAACAACAAGAATATTAATGAAAAATGCTTTGCTGGCAGTAATTATCTCTATCGTATGATGTTGCTATATGTTCAGTATTTTCATATTCTCAAATCTATGGTCTATGACCCATGGACTGGAGGCAAAATACAATTTAAAATAAACAAGTTGGATTTTTATGGGTATTTACCAACATATGCAAGTTCAAATTTAAATATATTTGGTACTTTCATTTTCTATTGGTCTGAAATTCAAATCATGGTGAACAGAATTATCTGATGCTTATCCTAATTCATAATAGCGAATAATAAATACCACATGAAATAAGTTGAGATGTATAAAATTAGCTCGTAATTCTTGAATACCATGATTATAAAATAAAATAATATATGGATGTTCAAATGTAAAAGTATTAGGTTATTTCTTTTTATTTTTTTCAAGTCTCATATTTTGTTGGGATTTAAAGATGAACTTCAAAATAAGGTATTCAATTGAGAAATGTGGAAAATAAAACATGAAGGGAAATGAAATTCGAATAAAGTTCATTTCTCCCTCATTAGTTAGCAAGAGGAAATTTTGTGTCATATCTTTGGTAAGTCGAAGGTAATGTTATATCAAATAATTCAAAATATGAAAATATTTTTACTTTTTTATTTGAATGTAAAAATTAATAATATTAGCTGATGAAAATACGAAAATTTTACATTTCAAAAAAGTTAACAAAACATCCTTCAAATAAAAGTATATACAACTTTATCTAAAAAAAACAAAGACCAAAAGCCTCTCATCAAAATTTGGCTTTGCGCCATCGACTTTGTCAAGTAGGCTTTGATTCTACATAAATTTCATAATTACGATTTAAAGAAAATAGAATATAAGCAGACATTATTCTCATCTCTCATCGTCAAAAAAACAGGAAAGAAAGAAAGGGATGTATGTATATACTAAAGTGCATTTATTATGATCACCAACAAAATACAGCTATATTTTCTTAAGTTGTAAGGCACTTGGCATGTGATCTACCTGACTAATTAAACTAACATTTACCATATTCATTCTACTATTCTGACCTTATCTTTTTCTTCTTTATTATCACTACTACTATTTTTAGTTACACAGTACTACCAATTTACCTGTCTTTATTTTTTTGGAGTTACTTTTTCCTATGTTGAACATTAAAAAAACCTTGTTATGTTGGTTGTTGAATATTAAATTGTTGATTTAATTCATATACTTATTTTGGATTTTAGTACTCTGTAGTTTGTACCTTTTAATTTATAGCAGTAAATTACCTTGCTGGAACTAGCTAACCAAAATATGCAAATTCACAGCTCATACTTGGCAGTTGAAAGTATTTATGTCTTATTCAACAACAAAAAAAATAGTCTTGTTTTTCCATGAGTACTAAGTGTTAATATTTATTCGCACCACAATATTTATATCAAATCAATGCAACCTATCGTGAAAATTTATATACAAACACATGATAAGAATAAGTTTTTAACATATAAGATTGAAACTTGAAAATTTGAAGTTGTATTTAGACATATATTTTACTCGAAAAGAAGTTAGATGTTTTGAATGGAAGTCCCAAAAATCCAAGCCAATTAGTCAAATGTTATGTTTAAACAAATACTTAAATATAAATTTAATCAAAATATATGGTCAAACGCTAGCATATATCAATAATCATTTATTCATTCATCTATTTACTTTTCTTAAGAGAGATAAATTCAAGCATAGAATAACATCAAATAGAAGAGGGGAAAAATACATAGAATAAGAACAATTATGTAAGGTAAACAGAGATCCAAATTCCAATATTAATTCTCAAATATATTTACTATAGCAGCTGTTAGTACATTAATAAAATAAAAATAGTCTAAATCATCATCTAAAATTTAATCAATCTCCCAAAAAAAAAAATTCGATTAAAAGACGGAACACTAACTCAACCTCAAAAGATATACTAATAATTTATTTAATAAAGTCATAATTAAAAGATTACGTTACGTTTCATTTCTTCAACCAATGTAAAATTCTAACGACGTATTTCATCGATAAGAGCGAAGAATTGCACCGCAAAATGTACACATAATAGCTCTCCAATTTTTCCAATAAAAGGGAACATAGCAAAACCGTGTAGCAGTCTTCATGTCTGCTACACTAGCTCCGCCGCCGCAACGCGAACATATTCCGGCGGCGGGTTTGCTCTTGCACACCTGTTTTGTTTGATCTACTAAGAAACAAAAACAAACCATTTTTTTGTTTTTGTTTTTGTTTTTGTTGTTTTTTGCTTATAATGTTTGAAACAGAGAGAGAGAAAAAAGTGGTACTTTGATGTTTTGGTGGTGAGGTTTGATTTGATGAGTTATTGAAGGGTATTTATAGGCATGAAATTGGGAAAAAGGAAAAGTAAAAGTTGAAGCAGAGACAGTTGAGACGTTACTGTGGCATGGGATGGCACATTGCTGACTTATAATTTGAATTTAAGGATAAATATTTTTTTAATCAATGGTCAACATCTATTTAATTAAATATATTTTTTCTGGTTTACTTTTCATGTTGTAAAGTAATAGAATGAATAAAAAATAGAGAATTGATTTTGTAGGTTATTTATTGTATTTATAAGAGATCTGAAAAGACTGTTTTCATTCGCTCATGTCGTAAGTGGTCAAGAGATCTTAATTTCTTGTTAAGAAAAAAAGGGGCAAAAATGCACTTAATGGATGGGATTTAGTTTATGATTGTTATCTGTTAAGCTCTCGTTTGGTTATGGATTTTAAGAGTAGATTTTTTCAAAAATATATTGAAAGATTGTTTGTTAATGAAATTCGGAACCAGTAAGTACTCTTTCATTCTTAACCAAGAGGTCTTGGGTTCAAGTCTCCTTGGATATAGAGTCGCCTTTGTTAGGGAGCATTTTACCCATATGGGACTTGTTGACGCGAATCCAAATTTGATTAGACTCCAATGTGGGTACCGGACACCGAGTGGTAAACAAAAAAAACAGTTAGTTTTTAGATAAATTAAATCAAGTTTCAAAAACTAGCATAGGCCCCTTTTTGAGTGAAATTTTACTTTCATTCAAAAAAAAAAAAACTTCAAGAAAAAATTAAATAAAAAGGCATGTTCAAGCTCAAACTTCAAATTCCAAAAACTATTTTTAACACAATATAAAAAAAAAATCATTTTTTTCAAGTTTTAATTAGAACTATGGAGAAATCTTAATTTATTAGCTCCTTTAAACCATTAATAGCTTTCTTTTGACTTAAGAATTAAGATTGCCCCTAAAATTAATGATGTAGGCTTTAAAACAAATTCGATAGTTTAGATGATTTTTTTGGCTTTCAAGCTAAAATCGAATTTTATTTTATGATTTAACCTATTGAGTATTGCTCGGAAAATCTTAACAATTTAATTAATTGGGTACTTGATGCTGTGAGTGAATTAGATCCATAAGGGTCTATGAGTTAGAATTAGTGAAGGAGACTGATTTAGTTGAGATTATTGGACCGAGTAGAATATTGAAGAGTTTTGTATGATATACATGCCCAATTAGTAACCGGTTGATTGTGTGTTAGAAAGAAGACTTCATGCGTATTATGTATAGTTTTGGCTCAGTCTGTTGATCTCTCGTATCCTTTCTATGGCCTAATATCTCATTCCCTTCTAGTTAGCTTCTTTCTCTATTATTCTAAGATTTCTCCATTAGTATTGTTTACTAATACTTTGTTGCTCCAATTCTTAATTGCAATTTGGATTCAATGAGTATTTTTATTATTTTTTTGATTTGCCACCCGGTGTCCGGAGCCCATATTTTGTTGCTCCGACTAAATCCGGATCGCGCACTGCAGGACCCATTCGGGGGTGGCACTCCCAACAGGATTTTCTCCATACCCAAGGCTTGAACTCGAGATCTCTGGTTAAGGGTGAAACACTCCCACCAGTGCACCACAACCCATGTTGGTGAGTATTTTTATTATATATATTAGTATTGTGTTGAGAAATTTGTGTTGTTACACTTAAATTTTCATCTTATTATTTTGTGGTTCGATTTTCCAGCTCTTAATCCACAATCATAAAACAAATTCGATATTTTAGGGGCATACATGTATTGTTCTTTTCCGTAGAATGAAAACCTTCTTCATTTTTCTCCTACTTTTGTTATTACTCGATCAATACAATTCTTTTTTTTATCATAATCACAATTCAATGCACTAAGTTTTCTCGCTATGGTATATAATTTCTACAAGAATTTATTGTTACCATTTAAATTAGTGACATTAATCACACGACAATAAATTTTACTATAAAAACATAACTATTAACTTTACCTATATTCACCCACCCTGCCCAAATCCAACCCAACATATTTCACAGGGTCACTTTTTATATATACTGAAAAGTAACTAGGCAATTAATATACTATCATTTATAAAGTAGGTATGCTAATTTTTAATTCAGGCAAGTATTTTTCAATAATGCAAATTGTCCAAACACCTACATTATTATAGACTAAGTATAGCATTTGTTCTTTTTATAGACTAATGTCATGACCCGCTACTTTGTCCTCCCACTTGGACATAAAATTAAAGCTACCGCACAGAGCGTTAATTGAAGTCTAAGTCCGTGACACTAAGCACCCTTCTTTACCATTCCAAAGAAGGAACAATAAAAAACATATTAAATCCCAATATATTTGACCAAGAATTTGTAAGTGAAATTAATACAAGTTGATAATTGCATTTATGTTGGGGCCAATATGATAGTATATTGAACTGGATTTGGGTTGGCAATTTAGTGGATGAGTGTCCAATTTTTTGGAGTCTGTATCAACCAATTAATATACCCATGTTGAGTTTTCAATTTTTTCATGACATTCACAAGCACAATTCAATTTTTTTGTCTTCAAATAGTTCTATGGCCATACTTAACTAAGAGCATGAAAAGAAACATTCTGTCAAGTTGGGGGTTTTAGGTTTTTTATATATCACATATTTCTAGTTTTTATATAGATTATGATTGATTCAACCGATCAAAAGTTTCAGGTTCAAGTGTCAAGTATGGAAAATATCTTGTTAGCAGAGGCGAATTGAGGATTTAAAGCTGACGGGGGGTGCTACTAAAGACGAATGTGGGTTAGTCGAAGCACCGACACTTAATCGGAAAATATTATTAAACAAGTATAAAATTGAAGGTATATATAAATATAAATTAACATTGTTCACTCTATGGTCTTGACTCTCCGTGTACAGTTTGAGGTTGCTAGTTCGAATCTTGCTTGAGGTTTTAAATGTTTTTTTTAAATAAAAAAAATGACAAAAAGAAAACACAACAACCAGAATTGAATTCAAGACATTCTACTTGCAAGGAAGCACAATGAACAGTGTGGAACCAATGCACCAACTCAGCTTATGTATTTTAAGGTGCACATTTAATTATTTATTCCTTGTTTAGATATATACATATATACACACGTAAATTTTTCTAAAATTAACGGATACACGTGTACCCACTCCGTCAAGAGTAGGTCCGCTCTGCTTGTTAGTCTTAGGGGCGATAATCCAAGAGTAGGTCCACTCTGCTTGTTAGTCTTAGGGGCACGAATCCATATTAATCGAGATTTCAATGCAAGTACCGAACATCAAGTGGAAAAAAGGAAAATATATGAGGAATTTCACTACTTTTTTTTTAACATTGTATAGATGATATATTCTTCATATTTTTGTAACAAATTATTATTAATTTCATTTTGACAGCTAGTGGCAAACGTGATAGAAAGGGGCAAACCATATGCCTTAACATTAAAGCAATGTTTCAACACCACCAAATAGTTAGGTAGGTGTCTAAGGGACCATGTTCCTCTTTTTGGTTATACAAGTACCACATTCTTTGGGTTAATTCAAATACAATACAAAAAATATTTTTCGAATTTATTAGTCGAACATAAAAACACTCTAGGAAAAGTAATTTTTTTTTCCCGAAAATTACTTCTAACAACAAAAGTTTGGCCAAACATGCTATAAGACGGATGGGATACTTCTATTTCAAACTTTTAGTTGTATTTTCGATTTCATGGAGCACAAAAGGGGAAGGTTATCCAGTTCCTTAATTTCTCAATTGAATGCATAGATTCAACATGATCCAGACAACATGAATCTTATCTTAGCACAGAACTAACAAAACTGCATGACCCTACAAAAATGTCGTCATAGTGTTACCATCATAGTCGATCTTGTAGCCTCTCTCTTCATCTCCGCAGCCTTTCCACTTCCCCGGAAATACATGTAGACTAGCTGCACAAGGTGGAGCAAATTTGAAAAAAATGTACACAACTTCTCAAGTAATATGACAAAGGAAAAACAAGTTTTAGGATGAGAAGCGAATTTACAAGCAAAATGTCTGATGTGAAGGGAAATGAATTACTCATCGAATTCTACTATGAGTGACCAGTGGCGGAGCCAGGATTTTTAATAAGGGGGTTCAATAATTGAAGAACTAAACATATGAACTAATCGAAGGGGGTTCGACATCTATTCTATATACATAAAAAATAATTTTAACTATGTATAAATAGTAAAATTTTCCGCTGAGGGGGGTCGGATGACCCCCCTCACAGAAGGCTGGCTCCGCCCCTGTGAGTGACAAGTCAAGAATTGATATACTCAAATAGCATGAATACGAACTCATATGAAATATACGACTCAGTAGTGCTTTCAAAGGTAAACTTTGAGACATAAATATAAAAGCGTACACCAACCAAAGCATGTGTTAGCCTAAAAGATCAATTCTAGGCAAGATACCACTGTTAAAACAAGGAAATGAAAGAAGTGAATCATTTTTGTTAAACAAGGATAGATCAAATTATCAATGAAAACGTAAATTAGCTAAGAGAACTGATATAACTCTAGCTAAACATGGTCCTCTCGAACAGGAAGGGAATTCAACTGGTTGCAAATACAAGAAATGTTTTGTACCAACAACCATTGCCCATTCTAACATAAAAAAATAAAACAACTTACGTCAAGAATTTCCCCTTGAAGAAAATTGGAGGTGCCGCAGCAGCAGCAGTGCAGAATCCAACGTGAAACTACAAGATGAAAAGAAGTACACATAGTGCTCAATAAACAACTCAACAGTATAATAGAGAGGGACACATATCAAACTAGGCACTACAAGCCTGAAAACAAACTAAATTGCCTTAATTATCAAATGATGAGAATGGATAACTCTTTTGACAAAATTAAACACAATATGATCACATGCGGTCAAAAGCATAGACTAACCTCCGTCGCTACTATCCACTAAGGACCATTGGCTCCATAAATTCCAATTCGAGCACCCTGTTACACATTCAAATATTATTGCATTTGATACACGTGACATTCTTAAGAAGCAAAAACTGATACAAATACTAAGTGAGCCTATTGCTTACATGTTCAATACCGTGAGCCCCTAATGCAGAACCAGTCTGCAAAATCTCTTCATAAGCTTCTTTG